AGGCCGGCTAGATCAGGCATGATCACAGCCGTAACAAGTACAGGTAAGTAAGTACCTAGTCATAGTAAACGACGTGTTTAAACTGAAATATGTTCCTCAGAGTTCCTCGAAGGAATCTCCACGGCTGTATGAGATGTCGCCACAAGGGCGGAAGGATATGTTTGCCTGTTAGGACAAAGACTGACCGTGATCGTTGTAGTCTGAGCTTCAGAAGACGGAATCTTGGGCTTCGAAATATGCACAGCCATACAGAACTCACAGGGTAAATACTCGATATCGAATGTGCTTTAGTAAATGTTAGGGTGAGGATACTCGCAGGGTTTTGAAAATGAGACAATCCTTTAATATATATGTCCTGACAACTAAGGTGCGCTGATGGTGAAATTGTCGGAAGAAAAATTATTTTTTTAAAAACTTAAAAAACTTTACAAGCTGCTTCTCCAGTCGTTTTCAAGATTGAAGACGTCTTGGCGACCGATAACGATCATGACTGCAGCCTACAGGCTGCCAAGGAGAGTCGCGAGACGATAGGGAAAATAGGAGAAACTACCTTCAAATGGAAACCAACAATGCTGTTAAATGGTAACTCCTGAGATGATTCGAATGAACCAGAGAGATTTCGTCACATATTCCTCCAAGAAAGCTGAAAGGTCACTATGTAATCAATCATTTTTTTCTTGTTGGCAGACAACGTAAAGTACGCTGCCTGCCTTAGGCATAATATAAAAGACTGGAGTCCGTGTAGATGGTGCAGTGACCTCTCTTACACACCACAAACGTTAATTGGGGTTGCTTTTTACCAAATGTGTTATATAACTAACACCAACAAACCTTTCTGGTGTTACTATAAATCAGCGAGTGGCCAGAACACCAAGTTGCAAGTATACACGGACTCTCTCAAGATAATTCCCCGTAGGATATGGCCCGTGTGCATAAATGTGAACACCAGAAGACAGTACACAGTCAGCGGTATTTTTGCCTTGTCATCCGAATCCTTCCTGGTCGTGTCTCTGAAGGACGACTGCGTAAGTGACAAAAATCATACTTTAGGTGCTTTAGCTGTTTGTTGCTTCGAACCTATGGCCTGGAAAATGGGTGTGCCCAAAGTCGGCTAACTGCTGGCGGTGCCGAGGTAGCCGACAGAAGACGTGAGTTGAACTAATGAAAGCTGGCTTCCAGGACTTCTTTGGCCTCACTGCCTTCAGTATTTATGGCTGGTGAGTCAACAGGTTCAGCGTAGATCAGAGGTCTGCCGACGACCGATTGCGGTTTAGCCCTCGCGAGCCTAGACTGCTAAAGTGTGACATCGGCGATGTTAAAAAACAGGCCTATTGAACAACAAAACAACAAAAGGGATCTACGCATGCCGAAGCTAGGTAAAGGCAATTACTGAGAGATTCCAAAATCGAGGGTATAATCTAGTGACGAATTTAGATTCATTGGGAAAACGCCATTGTAGAAACTTACATTCTTAACGAAAGTGAAAATGCTATTTTCTTTCATCTGCTTTTTTATCTCATCTTCGTCCATCATCATTGAATGCCCTCGTCCGCGACAGAGTTCAACAAGTACAATATCAGGCAGGGTGTGATCGATAACCTGAGATGTGGGGATTACTTAAAAGCAGATAATTGTTACATATTTTACATCCTCAATGCTTTCGCTGCTAAAGTGAGCTGTACCCACTAAGTAAACTTTAGTCCCGTTTTCGCATTCGATAAGAGTAATTGTTTCAGGAAGCTCAAACGGTGTCCTGCGCACTTGTTTCACGTTCTCGAAAAAGCGTATGGTTGAACTGATATACTCCTGGACATCTTCGTCGTCCGATTTATCGGCTTCAGGCGAAAGATTTTCATCTAGTGGTTCGGCACTCATACCAAAAACGACACGCAACCGCCGGGAGCGTGCAGCAATGACGAATGCGTACAGCCATTTGACCAAAATAACTGAGCAAAATTGAACCGGGGTTGTTCATATAGGGTTCAGGGTATTCGAGGAAAACAGGCTTACAACTTTCAACTTCCCATCTGTCAAACACAAACTCACAGTCATTAAAAAATGTGTGAACAAATTACAGCGTCACAGAGTCCGCTTGTTGCTACAGTATATAGCTATCAAGCCGATGCCTATATGTCTTCGCGGGTTGGGATATTGAAATATCAACGGGCAGTGTGTTTCACTGTTCCACCACAAGACTGGAGAAAAAATACTATCTTTAATTCAGTCTT